AATGACTCGTCAGAAGGGAAGCTGGAGGATGGGGCTGCCTTTCGGTGTCTGCAGTCTTTGCCCTGAAGTGGGGGTCAGAAGCTGGTCTGCAAGCACTTTCCAGTGGCCCGTGGGCCTGCTTACGTCAGCCCCCCACTCTGCCGATGTCTCTTCTGCATGGTGGGTACCCCTGTTCAGCAACTGGCTCCCGTGGAAGCCTTGGGGTGTCGCAGGTGGGCAGCCCACCACCGCCTTGGGACACGTTAGTGCCAACTGAGCACTCAGCGCTCATGTGAGACTTTGAAACTGGGATTGCAAAAACTGAGCCAGACTCGACCTGCAAGTCAGGCTAACGAGGTCAGTTCTCTGTGGCTCTGCTGCTCTGCCTGGGTGAGCCCGAACACCTCTCCCGACTCACAGGTGGACCAGTGGCCAAGGCCTAGTTGGAGGCATATGCAGTCGAGCACTTGGGCCACATTCTTCATCGTATTCCCTGTTACATTTTTCAACAAGCCAGTCTATGTAGAACTTTTAAATTTCTGTTGAGTCTGTCCATCTGTGGAGTCCTATAGTATTATCTTCTGACCTATTATGCAAATTGATTGAAAACATGCAACTGTCTTTCACCTTAACTCCATTCAAACCAACTTTAAACGTCACAGGTGTGTTACTCTGCTGGCTCCAGGCAGTGTCTATGCTCAGCCGCATGTTCATCCTTATGTCCTTGCCTCACCTTGATGCTGTATTGTGTGGCTCCGTGAGAGCTGTGCCTGCAGCTGAAGGGGCATGGAGGACCCGCAGAAGGATGAGCAGCAGAGACATTTTGGCTTTAGCATTCACAACAGACACCATGCTTTGCACCCCTGGAGGGTCTTCACACAGAGGAGATCCCGAGAGTGACAGCCGAGTGCCTATGCAGGTACTTCTCCGAAGGGACGCAGCAGCACTGGGCCAGGCCTGGGTTTATGGATACCAAGTGCCAGCTAGAATATAGTGGAGTGCAAGGAGCTCATTGTAAACCACAGGTACTGTAACATGTTTTGTATATATGAACTTCATAAATCTATTAAAACTTGCCCAAATCACACATTTTCCTGGCGTGCTGTACCCCATGGAGACACCAGCTCAGGCTGCTCCCCAGCAGCTGTGCAGTGGTCTCTAGAACGGCAGGACATACATGACTGTGGGTCCCTGGCTGTACTCGTGTTGCATCCATAGGCCTCCTGGGTGGAGCTCTGCCACTGGGTAGCCGCCTTCCCAGAAGCAGTCTCCCTGTGGCTTTGGTGGGGTATATGGTAGGTGCCATGTGCCAAGGCCTCCAGGTGGGAAAGTAAGGTAAGTGGTTATCACAGCCTTGGGTCTGGGCCTTAGACTCCCCTCACCCCCCCGTCCTGCCCCTGCCTTCCATCCTCTCAGGCGCTGGTTCTCAGCAGGAATCTCACCCACTGTCCTGTGTTTATTCAACAACAAACTCAGCCTTTCAGCCTAGTGACCATTACAAGCAGAGACCTACAGTGCAGGTGGCATTAGGAACACAGCCAAGTAGCCGTGTTGAACCTGCAGACTCAGTAGAAAAATGCCACCGGTGAGCTTGGTATAAATAGAGGCCTACTCCAGCCCCTCTCTGTGTTGTCACATCCCAGGTATCAGCCTTGACCCTGGAGGACACAGGAGCAGAGTAAGCGTTCATGGAGCAACTCATTTTGGTGGATACGTTCTTTGAGGCATCCGGCAAAGCAGCCTGAACCTAAGGGGCACCAGAGAGTGTGCGTTGGGGTGACAGGCATGAGTTGGAGACACGCCTGTCCTTCCACATGGATGAGGAGCAGGGGCCCCACGTGGGGAAGAGCGGAGCATTGCGATTATAGACAGTGTCTTGCCTGGAAAACTGCCTGCCCGGTAATGTTCTGACCACCTTACAAAGTTCTTGCGGGCTTCCAAGGAGGAAGGAGTTACTAAATTCAGTGTTGAATTCTCTTGTTTTCAGTTAGGCATCTAGGATTTCATCCTCTTCCCTCAAGCCTTTTTTATTCATTTGGGTTTCTGGCATTTATTAATTTTGAGAATGAAAATGTAATATGAAAGCATTACAGAAAATACAAATTATGCAGAATTTATTCTGTACATCAACCATCCATGACCTCAGTACTAAGATGCCTACATTTGGATGTGTTTCTACTTGACTTCTAGACTTTTAAAAGTAAGAGCGATGCCAGCTAGTAGCGTGGTCAAGTTGTGATTGGAGCTCACATGAGGACAAAGGGTGCCACTGAGAGACGCCCACAGGGGGCTCGTGCTGCAAGGCTGAGGGGCTCCGTGCTCCAGGGCAGGGAAGGACACGCAGCTCCACAGGCCTGCCTTCACCTTTTTAGGCTTCACTCCCACTCGGAGTCAGTGTCTACACAGGTGCCCTGCACCACACGGCTGCCCTGGGCCCCGGGAGAAAGCAGGCTGTGTGTGGGAAGCCTGGCCAGAGGAGAGGAACCAAGAGTAAGTGACAGGGTGGCCACGCTGCCCAGTGGGCCTCAGTCCTTCCCTCAGCAGAGCTGCTGTCCCCATCAGCCACTGAAAGGGACCTCTCCAGTGGGACATTCAAAGGAAATGCTCCAGGTCAGTCCCAAGGGCCATGGGTGACAGACAGCCGAAGCTTGATGTCATTTCAGGTGAGCAATGCCTGGTGTCCCCTACTTTTCCCGTTGTGTGCAGGTAGGACAGGTGGACACAGAGGGAGGCTGCAGCACCCGGGCCACTGCCGGCAGCTTGCTCAGCCTGCAAGAGCCTTTCCAGGAAAGACCAACGCAGCGCCCACCACTCTTTACTTGCAAAGTTCCACTTGTGTGTTAGATGCATGTTGCAAAAGCCAGTGAAAATGAATCTCCTTTAGTTGCTAAAGGCTGCAGGAGGGAAAAGGAGGTGATGGTCAGCTTCAGACAGGCCCAGGGCCACCTGGGAGTGTCCTGGCTGTCTGGCAGGTGAGCGGTGCCTCCATGTGCTAGGCCCGGGCCAGGATCAGTGGTGAGCCAAACCCGCTTTCTAGTCAGCCCTCCGTGACCACACCCACAGGAGACCTGTTGGATGTGTAAGTGTGTGAGGCTCATGCCTACAGAATTGATACGGGTGGCGTGTCATCCTCAGCTGAGAGGTCAGGGTGGTGGGGCCCTGTGGGGGTGTAGGGCCCCGTGAGCACAAAGGAGTCTGAGGCCCGGACTCCAGGCCTGTCCCAGTTTCAGTACAACAAAGGGTGTTGCTTACACTGCTTGGGGAGCAGCCGTTTGGGACGGCCTCCCTGCAACCCGGGTGGCCTGTTCCCATCTGACTTGCTGAGAGCCTGGGTCCTTTAGGGGTGGCAGGAGGTCCTCCCAGGGGTGATCCCTTAGCAGCCAGGAGGCAGGTGGGGGCATTCAGCAGCCCTTCGATGAGCAAGGCCTTGGCTCACTGGTCACCACTGAGGACTGTGGAGGGTGGGGGTAGTGGATGGAACATGTAGTGGCCCTGGGACATTTCTTGGAAATTGCATTTTAAAATAACCCCCCGATATAAGCCTGCTTTCTTTTGCGTCTTTACCCAAGAAGTTGAATTCAAAAATAAGCTTCCACTATTGTGGGTTCCCATTAGGGTGCTGGGAAGGGAGCCTCCACTGCCCCCCCGCCAGTCACCCATGCTGGCTGGCTGGCTGCAGGTGCGTCCTTGCACCAAGGCAGTGGGTGCCTGCCGGCTGGCCAAGAACTGTCAGTTTACTGTCTCCTTGGCACCAGTGCCATCTGGGTGCAGAGCTGCTGCACAGTGACCAGGACCAGCAACTCCAGCCTGGGGCATAGGGCTGTGACAGCCGAAAGCTGGCCTGGGGACTCTGCGTGTGCTCAGGGGCCCTCAGGTCTGTGAGACGCCTTGCAAGGCCCTGACCCACCCAGGCTTCACGGGGATAATAATATTCCTGTTGGGGACTCGCCCTTCTTGTACAAATCCATGAAGCCCCAGCAGCTCCAGGCCCTGTTTACGTTGGCATCTTTGCCCAAGAGTGCCGGCCACCCACCCAGGCCGCTCCCTGGACCTCCGGGGAGTCTCAAGCGGAAGCATTGCAGCTGCCAGAGTGTCCTGGTGACCTCAGCTGAGCGGTGCCGGCTCCTTGTGCCTCCGACTTCCTCCAGCTCACATTTACCCGGTGCTTGCCCCAGAAAGACCTGGAGTCACAGGGTCCAATCAGAGCTACCTGGGTCTGAATTTCAGCCCTGCTGCTTCACAGCCTCAGGCAAACAGCCAGACCTTTCAGCTTCCTCAACAGTAAAGTGGGGTGAGGGCCTCAGCTGCACCATGATCAAGATGTAGGAAAGCCCCTCATACTTCAAAGGACTTGTTCAAAGGTGAAGGTTATTTGCAGGGAAGCTTTGTCCATCTTCCCCAGGCTTGGGTCCTGCAGGCTGCCTGCCCTGCACCCGCCTGTCGGGTGGAGGGCAGCTCCTGGTGTCCCCTCATGGACCGTGCGCATGCGCATTTTTGTGTGTGTGTGTGTGTGTGTGTGTGTGTGTGTGTGTGTGTCCGTCCTTCCCTGGAATGCTATAGCCTCTCCTTTTAACTTTGTGGGATCTAAATGCAGACTCTGCTATGATGGCAGCTGTTGGCTGCACCAGGGCACATGCATCCGTCTCTGAGCCTCTTTGGAGACTGCCCCTCCCAGAGAGGTTTGACAACGATGTCCCACAAGGCCATGTTAATGGGGCCACACCCCTCCATGCTGACCCTCATCTGCAAAGTGGGGGCCTGCTGAGGGGCTTGTGCCCATTCAGGCCTAAGTGGGGGTGCGGAGAAATGTGGGATGATTCTCCTCAGGCTCCTCTGAGTAGTTTGGGCTTTGGGGAGGGAGCAGGCGCAAAGCAGAGCCCAGAGGAAGGGAAGCAGGAAGGGGGATTTGCCCCCTGTTAGGCTGGGGGTCTGCTCCTAGTTTTGACTTGTGTATTTAAACTGCCTTAGAAGGCCTGTATAGGTTTCCTGAGCCACATCTCCCACACAAACCATGATACAGATAATGTCATGACCCCGCTGTATTTTTAGTTCCATTCAAGCCCCTCTGCTGGGCTCACTGAGATGTGTGTGGGCAGGCGAGAAGACCCCTCCTTCCGACTCTTGGGCTTCCAACAGATACAGAGATAAATGGACTTGGCACATCACCACGAATAAACCAGGTCTGGAGCTTGAATTTGGGAAGATCTGTGAACTGACTTTGCTGGAGGAGATGGGGTTTGTTATCCCCTCTGCTGTAGCCCTCTCCCCACTGCTCTTCACCCCCATCACGGACAGACTCTGGGCTCACGTTTGAGCCGAGGAAGGAATCCGATCTCTGTTCCTAAGCTTTATTTTCAGAGTGTTCCTGCCAGCAGCTGTCCTAAAAAAAACTGCACTCCCCCTGCAGCTGGAAGCCCACCAGGGGGGCTCCACGGGCTCGCCCCTTCCCTCTTCAGAAAGCTCTGGCCAGGCCCAGCATGGGGATCCCTGCAGCTGAGCAGGACCCCCTCCAGCTCCATTCTGTCTTACCTCCTGCTTAATCTCATGTCACTCCAGTGATGAACCTTCTGCAGAGGAAGAAGGAAACTGGAGAACAGGTCATATCAGGCAGCAGGTGTGACACCCACTCCCGTGGTAGACAGTGGGGCAGGCATTTCATAAATGTCTTCCCATCTCACAGGCTTTCTGCCCCCCAAGAGGTGGAGTCTGTGTGCCCTCCCCAGGAGCCTGGGGAGGCCTTTGTGTTAGCGCTGGAAGTGACACCCAGGAAAGGCCGCACTGCCTCCATGTGACTCCTGAAAATCCCCCCTTTGGAAACCAGGCGCCACACTGTGAGGAAGCCCAGGCCACATGCACAGGCCCCCAGGCGCAGACCTTCCCACTGAGCTCTGCCTCACGGCCACTTCCTGAGCTACACAGGCTGCAGGGTTTTAAGGCCTGAGGTTGGGGTGGCCTGTTCTCACTGTAGGCACCAGGCACTGGCCTGCCTCCGCAGGGTCTGCCCGGCACTTCGGTTCCCTCCATCTCCGTTTCCTCCTGGGTCCCTGTGAAGCACTTTTGAAGCCAGAGGGACCTGGGACAGAAGAGCTGCATGTGCTTCTGTCCACCCAGTGCCCCCATGTTCTCTGGGACTAGGACCCCACACTCTTGCCTGGTGGCCGATTACAAGGACACTTCAGACATTCTTGCTTGGTGGGACCCTCCTAATTATATGTTTGTACTTTGTACTGTTTTCTTAGAAGGCCCTCAAAACTGTATATGCTGCCCACAAAATGGGTGAGTCGCCCTGTTAGTGCCTCTTCCCAGATGGGAAAATAGCTGTGACCCCCCTCATCATGCCACAGGAATTCCGCTGTCAGAAGTGGACCTGGCACTCCCTAGGACTCCTACGCTGCAGGCAGAGGCAGCTTCTGATACTGAAAACGGTTAATTGATAAGGAAAAATACTAAATGTGTATTACATAACAGGAAGCAAAATTTGACAAAATGAAAGGGAGACAGACAATCCCCAGGCATGGCTGGACGTCACAGATGGTATCAGTAGGAACACTGATGCTCTGAGGCACTGCAGGCCCCCTGTCAGAGAGCTGTCCCCAGGGCAGAAATGCTTGGTTTCAGCACTGCAGGTCACAGCAGGCAGCTGTCCCACCAAATCAGGGACTCTGCCTCACAGCGCCTTCCAGCCTGTCAGTCAGATGCTTCCCTTCCTGCAACACCTGTCAGCCCCCAGGGGCACATCTCCAGTGAGTGGTGACACCACATGAAGTGCCTAAGGGCCCGAATGCATGGGTGCCACAGAAAGCCACCCCCCATCCTCAGAGTGGATGGAAACAACGCCCTGCCCGCCCCATGAATGCAGAGCCAGGCTGCAGCTTCGGAGAATGAGTTCACAGTAGCCGAGTCCTTGTGCCTGTCACCCCCGACCTGAGCTCCAGCTACGAGGCTGGGGCCTCGCAGGCCCAGCCCCTGCTGCCTCCTGCCCCCAGGGAGCCAGCGCTCTGGGGGCCCAGCCACCTTCTGCCGTGGCCCCAGGCAGGACACAGGGTCTTCTTCTGCCTCCCTAGAGACCTGTCCTCCTGAGCCCTTGCTGGGCCCACGGCACCCTCGGCCGCTGCATGTCGCAGGCATTGGTGTCCAGGGAAAGGCAGGCGCTGGCACACTGCACGGGCCACACTAGTTCTCTGCCATTCTCCAGTGGCTTGGGGATGATCCCACCTTGGCCGGCCTGCGTACGTTCAGCTTCCTCCTCAGGGAGGAGAAGGTGTCCCCCAGGACCCTGCGCAGCCCCACGCCATCTTGGCTGCAGGGCGGGTCCCACCTGGTGGCCGGAAGCTGCCCCGTGAACATCTCCCACCGGGCAAGGGCGTCCACAGCTCTGTCCACCTGCGCCAGCTCCTCCTCACTCACGTCCCTCTCCAGGGCCTGGATGCACATGGCCAGCCACTGTCCATGCTCCTTGATGGCCTCCACTGGGGTCCCAAGTGCTGGTGGGCCCTCCCAGGCTGCTGCCAGGGAGCTCAGCCCATCCTCAGGCTCGGGCCCCAGGGAGAAGCTGTGGCTCCACGTGTCAGGGGTGAGGGGCTCTGATGGGCTGCTGCCAGGCTCTGAATCACTCTCACAGCTCAGGCCAGAGTCCGCACTGCCAGGCAAGGTGTCATCTGACACAGACGGCTCCCCTGCCTCCTGCCCGGGCCGCATCCCTGCCACTGCTTGAGTCCAGGCGTAGAGTCTCTGAGAGAAGGAGACACAGGTGGCTTTTCTCTGCAAGTCACTTACCTAATCCCTTACCTAAGGGGACCCCACTGTTACCCAGGGGCAGGTGTCAGGATGGTGACACAGGGCCCTTCAGACCAGGGCCTTCCAAACACTGGTGCCAGATGGACCAGCTCACGAGGGCCCACAGACAAGCTTTCAGGAGTTTTGCAAGCCAGTTGTTTAGCTCAGCCACTATCCAAAGTTAAATTATGTAGAGCTTACAATTAAATTTTAAAACTGTGTTAAAAGGGAATAAATTCTCAAAACTCATCTATTCCCACATGTTTTTACTATGTTTGACTGTGACCTCTGCTCTTGGTTATTTCCTCCTCTTGGGTCTATGGACAGACACCTCTAATGGTGGGCTACGGTGTGTCTCTTCCCACACTGCTTTCAGTGACAACTTGGAATCAGCCCTGGTGACTTTTATTCAGCATAGAACTGGAAGTCCCAGCCATAGCAATCAGAAAAACAAGCCATCCAAATTGGTAAGGAAGAAGTAAAATTGTCAGTATTTGCAGATGACGATACTATATGTTAAAAACACTAAAGACTCCACCAAAAAACTATTCGAACTAATGAATGAATTCAGTAAAGTTGCAGAATATAAAATCAAACAAATCTGTTGTACTTCTACATACAAATAAAACAGAGAAATTAAGAAAATCCCATTTATAGTTACATCAAAAAGAATAAAATACTTAGGAATGAATCTGACCAAGGAGGCAAAAGACCTCTGCTCTGAAAATGGTAAGACCCTGGGGGAAGACACTGAAGATGACACAAGGAAGTAGAAAGCTATCCCATGCTCCTGGATTCGTATTGTTGGAGTGGCCATCCTGTCCAAAGGAATTACAGATTCAGTAGGACCCCTATCAAAATAACCAATGGCACTTTTCACAAAATTAGGACAAGTAATCCTCAAATTTGTACAGAACCACAAAAGACCCCTAATAGCCCAGGCAATCTTGGAAAAGAACAAAGCTGGGGGTATCATGCTCCCTGATTTCAAACTATTCAACAGAGTTACAGTGATCAAACATTATGGTTTTGTCGCAAGAACAGATTCATAGACCAATGGAACTAACAGAGAGCCCAGCTACATGGTCAATTAATATATGACATGGGAGAGAAGAATGTACTGTGGGGAAAAGACAGTCTCTTTGATAAATGGGGCTGGGAAACCCGGACAGCTATGTGCAAAAGAACAAAATAGGATCACTGTCTTACACCGCACACAAAAGTAAACTCAAAATGAATTTAAGACCTAAATATAAGACCTGAAACTATGAAATACAAAAAATTCATAAAAACCAAAAATTCAAAGAAAACATAAGAACTCTTGGACATTGGCCTTAACAGTTTGTTTCTGGATACATCTCCCTAGGCAAGGGAAACAAAAGCAAAAATAAACAAGTGGGGCTACATCAAACTAAAAAGCTGCACACTAAAGGAAACAGTCAACAAAATGAAAAGGCAACTGCTGTATGGGAGAAGATATATTTACAAATGATACATCCAATAAGAGGCTAGTACCCAAAATATATAAAGAACTACAACTGAACACCATAAAACAATCGAATTAAAAATGGGCAGAGGAACTGGAGATATTTTCCAAAGAAGACATAGCAATGGCAACAGACACATGAAAAGATGCTCCACATCACTAATCAGGGACATGCAAATCAAACCACAATGAGAGACCACCCCACATCAGTCAGAATGGCCACTATCCAAAAAACAAACAGTAGTGTTGGTGAAAATGTGGAGAAAAGGGAACCTTCACACACTGCTGGTGGGAATGTAAATTGGTGCAGCCACTGTGGAAAAAAATATGGAGGTTCCTCAAAAAACTAAAAATAGAAATACCATATGACCCAGCAATTTCACTTTTGGAAATTCACCCCCCCAAAAAACACAAGATCACTAATTGAAAAAGATATCTGCACCCCTATGTTCACTGCAGCATTATTTACAACAGCCAAGATATGGAAGCAACCTAAGTGTCCATTGATAGATGAATGGATAAAGAAGTTTGGTACATATAGACAATGGAATATTACTCAGCCATGAAGAAGGAAATCCTGCCATTTGTGACAACATGGAAGGACCTAGAGGGCATTAAGCTAAGTCAAGTCAGAGAAAGACAAATACCATATGATTTCACTTATATGTAGAATTTAAAGAACAAAACAGACTCATGAACACAGAGAACAGGCTGATGGTTGCCAGATGGATACAGGGATGGATGAAATAAGTGAAGGGGAGGAAACTTGATCTGGGAAACGGTTACATGAGTGTACATACATGTCAAGATTCATTAAGCTGTACACTAAGTTTTGTGTGTTTTAGTATATGTGCCCTCAATTTAAAAAAAACAAAACATTGGCTTTGCTGAGACCATTTACACCATGGACATCGGCAGATACTGCAAATCAAATGCCTTGATGGCATTTACCAATATGCCGCTGGTGGGTGCAAAGACAACAGAGACCTTTACCGGCCCGGCCTCAGTCAGCTGTTCCCTACCAGCAAATCCTCAGGGGCTGTCCCAGCACCCGTGGCCAGCCGGGGGGCAGCTCCCCTCCTGTCCTCCTCAGCCTCTCCACGTCACAGAGGCTCGCTGGGGAGAATGGGGCTGCCATTTCAGGAAGCACACTGGGAGCTTCTCCCTCCCCCCCGACTCGGCCCTTCACCAGGTTGGGAACCTGGGAAAGGCCCCCTCCCTGCTCAGAGTGGGCAGGTGGGGGTAAAGCATCAAGGCCATGACAGGAGAATCCTGGAGCTCTGCAGACACCCGGCCTCCCTCCCTGCACCCTGAGGGTGAGAGCTGGCAGCTCTCGGCCCTGCACTGTGGGAGCAGCCCGGCTCCATAGGTGCCCCTGGGGGCCGATGACCATGCTCTGAGGACCATCGCCAGCCCTCTGCAGCTGAGGTGCTAGGCCTGGGGCAGCCTGGCCTCCCTCTCCAAACCCACAGGCTGATTCCACCATGCTCCTTGGCATTGCTTACCTTGGAGTCACTCAGAAAAGAGGCCTGCGGGAGGCAGCTCCATGAACTAGAAATGCCCAGCCTTCTAGTTCAAGGAGCCTCAGGGTGGGGCCCCCATGGGCAGCACCCCTGGGAACCCATGAGAGATGCGAGTCCTCACCCACCCCAGAGATGTCGAGAACCCCTCCCCACAGGTCTATCTCCTGGGCCGTTCACCAGAAACAAAGCTCCTTGTGGCCAGGTGCCCTGCCTCCAAGAGGAGGAGAGAGGGGCCTCCCCAAACCCCAAACACAGTGAGGTTCGTGTAAAGCTTTCAGCTTACAACATTTGGTTTTAAAATTAAGCTAGATAGGCACTATGCCTTTATTCGAATGAAAACTTTTTTTAAGTTGATGTTTTCATCCAAATGTGAGTTTAAAGGAAAAATAACCACTACCTGCTTTCGAACTTGAAACTCAGCAAAGTGTCTGAGTTTGCAAACAAATCTCCCCAAAGGATAAGGCTTCTTCCCTGCAGGACAGCCGACCGGCCCATTTCCCGGCCCCGCCAGCCTGGGCACCACTCCCGGCAGTGCCTCGTGCTGACAGCAGAGGGCGGCATCGCCCGCCGGCCTCCTGAGCACGGATGGCGCTGCCCTTCCAGAGCCTTGTTTAGTCTGGTTCTGCCCTGCTGCCTTTCCCCGCCCTCCCCCCAGAGTGAAAGCCTTGTTGGGGCCACCACGCCAGCTGCCGGGGTGCGGGGAAGGCCCCTTGGCTGAGTAGGTGGAGACAGCGCCCGGCGTGTCCAGCACCTGATCAGAGCCCTGTAAGCGCTCCCTCTGTACTGTTCCTGAGGAATTGGCCTGCCCCTCGGCCCCCCACCCCAGTGCAGCAGCCCCGCCGCTGAGTGTGGCAGGCCGACCAGCGGGGCCTCAAAGACCTGCTCTCCCGCTGAGGCCGTGGTCCTCCTGGGGCCTGGGGGCGGCCGCCCAGGACACAACTCACCTTGTACCTGTCCACAAGCTTGAAGCCCAGGACATGCTGCAGCTTCCGCAGGCAGACGGGACAGAGGTCCAGGGGCCGCCGCAGGACCTCGTCCAGGCTGAGTGCCCCCTGCATGACGCAGCGGAGCCAGCGGCAGTGCCCCAGGCCGAGGAGGTGGCAGAGCTCGTGGCACGTGACCTGAGGGAGAAGGCCCACCATGCCCTCGAGCCCTACCACTCCGCCAGACCCTGGACACCTGGGCAGCCCCACCAGGAGCCTGAGTGCCCTGGGGCAGGCCAGTGTGCCAGCGAGTGGCCCCAGCCCCACCCTGCTCTGGCCACTGATGTCTCTGGTGCCCCAGCACTGGGGCTGTACTGGGCACAGGGGGAAAGGGGAACTGGGGGACCAGCTCTGGAGGAAGCCCAGGGGGAGCTTGGGTGTCAGACACGGGTGCATACCCCAACCCTGCCACTCCACAGCTGTGCGACCTCGGGCAAAGGGATTGGCATCTCTGTACCCTGGTTTCTGTACTCCCTAGAGTGATGGGCTGTCCTCGTTGTGAGGACTGGACAGTGTAGCCAGCTGGACACAGGGTTCAGCACTGTCTACTTGTGTCCTGTCTGACCCACATCCTGAGCATCTTCCCAGAACCCACCAGAGCCCCCACCCCCATCCCATCTCCTCCCACCACCTGTGTGGCACCCATGGCCCGGACACCCGCCCACAGTCCACCCAGCCCTGCCCCCACCTTGCAACACTGTAGCATCCCCAGGACACTGACGTGCAGGGTCTCTCGGTCCTGCAGGGGGGTCTCGGGACCATCTGCCGCCACCTCTGCCAGGGCCGGATCAGAGGCACAGGGCCCCAGCTGCAAGAATTCCCCTGAGAACCGGGCAAAGCTGCAGATACCCACTTCTGGGGAGAGGCAGAGAGATGGGGGCTCAGGCAGCAGGCTCCCTCAGGAGGCCCCGTCCTCAGGATGCAGGTCCCAAAGGCCTGCCAGTGTGTCCATATGAGGTGGCCTGGGGATGGCCCCCTGCCCCAAAGGAGCTAGACCAGGGGCTCCCAAGCAGCTGTTTGCACATTTGTGCCTCATCCTCCCTGGAGGGAGAGGAGGAGAGTGACCCACTTGTGCTCCTGTGCCCTGGGTGCCTCCCCGCAAACCGAGCCCAGGCTGAGGCAATGCCAGGGGCTCTGGCTCACCGTGGCCTGGGAGGAACTTGCCGAAGGTGAAGCTCCAGGCCTCGCAGGGGTACAGGTCGGACAGCGTGAGGCCCAGCACACACAGGGCGTCGCCCGGCTTGCTGCTCTTCAGGAAAGCCAGGATGCCATCTGCGGAGAGAGTGAGGGGCAGTGGGGAGGCGCTCTCACCCCTGTTCTGTCTAGGCCCAGCCCTTCCCAAAGAGGGGCACAGCTCACGGCATGCCTCAAGGAACCGCGAGTCTGAGGAGGGGAACTCAAGGCAGCCAACCTACGCAGAGCATGGCAGGGCCTCCACCTCCCAGGTCAACAGCTGGGCTGCGGGGCAGGAAGGGGCGGGGTCCCATGTCCAGCATGGTCTGGACAGCTGGTTTGGACCCAGTAGTCCAAGATGCCAGAAAGGCACCAAAAAGGCCACGGTCCAACGACACATGCTCAGGACCACATGCCACCGAACTCACGGCAGAGACACGTGGGCAGCTGACGGCTGGCCCCAAGGATGTGGCAACCTGGTCCCCAGGACATGCAGGGATGCCTCTGGCAGAAGGGGCTTCGCAGAACCTGGGAAGTGGTTCTGGATTTTCTGGCTGGACCCAGTGTAGTCGCCAGGGGCCTTCGAGGCAGGAGGGGCAGTGCGGCCTAAGGCGCTGCGGCCCTGCGAGCCCCAGAAGGAGCAGCTCTGCTCACTCTGATTTTAGCCCAGGGACACTTCTGCTCCAGAGCTGTGGGAAATGAATGTCACCAACACTTGCACTGACTTGTCACAGCAGCTACGGGAACAATGCTGCCGCCCGGCGTGGACAGAGAGTGCTGGGGACACAGCCCAGACACGACCACATCCTGCAGGCAGACATGGGAAGGGGCCAGGGAGCTGCCCGCGAAGACCAGGGGAGGGCCCCGTGACCAGAGCAAGAGTGGAGGCCGGGAAGGGGACACAACACACATTTCCAAGGGGCTTTACATAGGCAGGAGCAGAGAACCAGGTGGTGGCTGGAGGGGAACGCAGGGCAGAGGGGTCCAGTGGGGGAAAAGCTCTGTGTGCAGAGAGTGGGGAGGAGCCAGAGCGGGTCTGGGTGCAGGCAGAGGCGGGGCAGGGAGGGGCTGGCTGGTCAGCCCCTAAGCCAGGAAGCGCAGTGCAGGGAGGGGGCAGTTCCCCCTTGATAATTTCCTCAGCAGAAAAGGTGAGGACCCGGCTCCTAGTCACGCATCTACGAGAAGACCACTCAGGAGGTCTGTTTTCCTGGTCACACTCAGACAGGAGATGGATTTGCCCAGGTGTGGGCAGGAAGGGGGGTGAAGGCAGGAAGTGGGGACTGCGGTGGATCAGGGACAGGGGAAGGCGGTTGGCCCAGGAAGGGACGTGGGGCTGGGCATCTGGGAGGAGGGGCTTCGGGGAGCTGCTTCAGCCCCAGGGGGTGGGGAGCACACTGTTTGCTGCTACTGATGACAGGCCTAGTGTAGCGCTGGCCCCGGAAACACAGTGAGCTGGATATGGAACTAAATTTTAAATTTTACTCATGTTAAAGTAAAACAGATCAAATTGATTTTAACATACTTCATTTACCCTAATATATCCAAAATATTTTCACATAGAATCAAGTAAAAACCAAGATGGTTTACATTGTTTTCCACCCCAAGCCTCCAATTCAAGTGAGCATTTACACTCACTGCACACCTCGCTTCTGACCAGCCACATTTTATGTATTCAACAGCCACACATGGCCCATGACTCCTGTCCCGGGCAGCTCAGGCCCAGGGTATGACCTGGGGAGCAGGGGGTGACCATGCAGCAGAGGCTGAGGGATTTCAGCTCTTAAGGTGTCAGTGATGATGACGGTCATAGGTCAAACTGTGTCCCCAGAAAGATGGGCTCAAGTTCTAATCCCCAGTGCCTGAAATGTGACCTTATTTGGAAATAAGGTCTTTACAGGTGTAATCAAGTTAAGATGAGGTCACTAGGGTGGGCCTACCCTATATGCAGACAAGAGAAACAGTGTGACAGCGGAGGCGAGGTGGGAGAGAGGGAGCCACCAGCTCGGGGACCCCGGGATTGCCGCTGCTGCCAGGAGCCGGGAGAGGCAAGGAGGAGCCTCCCCCTCCCCCAGGGAGGGCCTTCAGAGAGCAGGGCCACGCCCACACCGTGACCCAGGCATCCAGCCTCCCAGCCCGAGAGAGAACACACTTGTGAGGTTTTAAGCTCCCAGTTTGGGGCACTTTATCAGGGCAGCCCTCGGAGACTCACACAGTGAACTAGACCAAGTAAATCTGACCCCTGTATCCTAGGCTCTGCTGCTCATTGAAGCTTCGTGAGCCCACCTCTTTCCCAGGACACCATGCAGCCCCTGAGGCGTGGGGCAGCAGTGGATGGCTGGGCAGTGGGGGCGAGGAGTGCAGAAAGGTCGTCTGCACCGCATGCACCTCAGTGCTGGGGTCTCCAAGCACCACAGCCCCTGGGCAGCTGGGACACGAACAGACACTGGCTGCTCCCAAGTCTCAAGCACATGTCAGGTGGGAGCTACACCAGGTCCACTGGCACCACACATGGCATAGGGGAATGGAGGAGAGGTGCGGAGGCTGGGGCTTTGCCCTCTGAAAGGCAGGGGTCCTAGGCTCTGCACTTGGGCAATAGCCAAGGGAGGCCATTGCTCCCTGGGCCCTGCTCGGGGAGGTGGGAAGGCTGCACCCAGCAATCAGGAGGGGTCCAAGTGACCAAACCTGAAGCCTGGGACATAGAAAGGAACCATCAGGATGACACCCACCCCAGCCAGATGGTCCCTGTGATGGACCACTAGGAATGGGGACCAGCCCCCACTTAAAGATAACCAGAAGCCAAGTGAAATGCAAAGAACAGCTCCTGAAAACCTGGGCAGTGGGTGAGGAATTGGCTACAGGGGCACTGGGGAAGTCAGCGGGCAAGGCAGACTGCTCACAGGTGGCCACAGAGACCGTGACCATGCAGTGCACTGCGTGTGTGCGCCAACACCCAGCAGGAAGAATTGTATTCTATGTAATTATGCTCAATAAACATGACAAAAAATCAGAGAGCTAGTGAGAAATGAGAAACAGGATGAGGATTGCAGCCCAAAGAGAAAGGCTGAGCGGTTTCTGAGATGGGAGAGGGCAAGGGGGTGCCCCTGACGCCCCCTCTGGCTGCCCCACCCCAAATCCCTGGGGCAGCAGGCAGCCCAGGGGAGCCTCATGTCTGTGTCTCAGATGCAGCACCTCAGGGGCCTGGCAGAGGGAAAATAACATCCTCTCTGGAGGAAAACTACATCATCCCCAGCCATAAATTCTTCTAAGAGTTAAACTAATGTTTCCAATAACATGTCCAGCTAACAAAAAAAAAATAAGTCCCACCAAGAGGCAAGTTTACTGACACAAAATTTGCAGGAACAGCAGGTGAGCCACGTGGCTCAACGTGGGTTTAACAGCACGTGAGGTGCAGTTAGAGAATCGGGAAATGAGGCTGAGAATAAAGTGTGAATGAGATGCGAGGAAGTGAACGGAGAGTGAGAGGGATTAACGTGCATCCAATCGGAGTCCCGAATGGGAGGAACAGGGCTGGTATTTGAAGAAAGAATGCAATTTTCCCACCAACGATGAACTATCCCGTCAGCTCCTTCCTCCCGTCTCCTGGAGAGGCCTGGGCAGAGTGCAGCGCCTGCACCTGCACGCTGACCTGTGGCCGGCCACACACTCACCTGTGTGGAGCTGGAGCCTCTCCGAGTGCGGACTGGGACGCGAGGAGCAGTGAATGGATGCAGCGGCCACCGAGGGCAGGCACCTGACCTGCAGGCCCAGAAAGAAGGCCTCTGCGCAGCTCCGAAGGTGGTCCAGCAGGACGCCTGCCGGCCCCTCGCTCAGGTCTGGGGGTGGAGTGGCATGTCAGCCCTGCAGGGCCCTGCCGGCTTCTCGGGGCCCTGCCTGCCCACACCCGAGACCCAGGGTTTCCTGCCAGTACCGTGAGGCCAACACAGACCCACCTTCATGGAGTGGAATGCCAGGCACGGGAGGGACGTGAAGCAGCTTTTTAAAGGGGCAAAAAAGGGAGGGAAACATACGAATGGTCGATGCCCAGAGGAAAGAGCAGGAGTCACAACTCCGGGACGACTGGCCTGGGAGGTGGGGAGCCGGGGACACGGGAGGTCATCCAGTGCCCTCAGACCCCAAGGCTGGCCAGGCGTGGGCAGGGCGCAGTGGACCGCAGGAGCGAGGAGCCAGAAACAGCCTGCTGGCGTAATGCTGCAAAAAGCCAACGGGGAGTACAACCAGCTCAAAGTTTAGAGGGATAGGGACCAAGGTGGGCAGAGCCCCTGGGCCAGCCCCGGAGCTGGCTAGCAATGTAGACCCCCAGGCTGCCTTGGAACCAGAACCTGCGTTTAAGATAACCAAGCATCTGCACATTAGTTTGGGATGTGCTGCTCTGAGCTGATGGGGGGTACAGGGAGCCATGCAGACGGGTTTGGAGCTCTTTGGGGGCAGATTCTGCAGGTGAAGATGGCAGATTGGCCAGGGTGGGTTATGGAGAACGAGGGGCACCTGCAGGCTCTGGTCCCCAGTGGGATCTGGGACAAGGCCCCCCAAGTGCAGCCTCCTCTGGCTGGCTGCTGAGACGCTGCCCTGAGGGGAGGGGCAGGACACACCGACTGTCAACTCAGGCCTCTTCCTCTGCCCCAAAGCCCAGTGCCACATCTGCCCTGTGTGCCCTCTCTGCCAGCCTGGGGCCACCTGCCCTTGGCCTTCAGGGAGGTACAGCAACCCTCAGCTGCAGCACCTGGCCCCATGGAGAACCCAGCCAGGCCATTGCTATCCTGGGTCCACACAGAGCCCTCATGCCTGTGTCCCCAGTCTGGGCCAATAAGCTCTGGAGGACAGTGGCTATGTGGGGGCTCCCAAGCTGTGGGAGACTGTGCCCAGCCAGTCTCCCAGCCTGAGGCTTGGTGTCAAATCACCTCTACTAGTGGCCAGTTCTGCACCTTGGGCAGACCAAGTGACTCTCCCTGCCTCCCTTTCCTCACCTGCAAAGCGGCCTGACCCTAAGCCCAGTGCCCCGTGGAGGCTTATGAAGCACCCAGAACAGTTCCTGGCACAGCACTGGCTTCAACAGGTAGGACTGGGGTGTCCTGTGTGGACTAGGCGGTGACACAGCCACGAGGGTCCTGCAGCCTGGGGCTTTCTGAACAGTGTTGGGGGCAGGGTGGGTAGAGGGCCTGAGCCCCGTCCCCACCCCAAGCCCCCAGCACCATCCCCCCTCACTTCACCTAGTGCTGGCTGTAGGCTCTGGTCCTCCATGGGGGCCGTGGGCTCTGATGCCACCCCCAGCTCATACCCACTTGCAGCCCTGTAGGGTCCCCGCCCCCAACCAGGTACCTATAGGCTGCAGGTAGACATGTTTCCGAGTTGGGCTTTGCTTCCTAGGCAACAGGGAGGCGTGGAAGCTCTCAAAGTCCTCAGGGGCCTCTGGGCAGCTGAGGAGCCAGTCGAAGGCTGTGTGGATGAGCAGTGTGCAGAAGAGGGTCCTCTGTGGGTTGTAGGCCTCAGCCAGGAAGAGCCTCTCAGCCGGGGAGAAGGTGGCCACATAGAGCTGCTGCAGGGCAGGGCAGCTGGACACTAGCGCATCCTTCAGGGCCCGGGGGCCGAAGCTGAACTCCTGGGCTGGCCGGCACTGCAGCATGGCGGGCCTGGTCACTCTGGGAAGCCCCTGCTGTGGCCCATGAGCCACCCAGGGGATAGCCACGATTGCTTCCAGAACTTTCCTGAGGGCTGATCAGAGCGGCTGCCAAGGGCTCCCTAAAGACGGACACTAGGCTGAGGGCCCACGAGGCCTGGCTCTGGCTGGCGTGGGGCCTTAGCAACAGTGAGGGGTGGTGGAACGGAAGCCTCCAGGCCCGGTGCCCTGCAGAGGGTGGGGAGGGGGAACACGTAGCTGAGTGACACGGCCTGTTCTCTCAGGTGAGGCCAAGAGCTTGGTGGGGGATGAGTGTTGTTGAGGGGGCCAGTGGCAGAAGGATGCTGTTTTCGCCTCTGGCAGGCTGGGTGAGTCCTTAATCCAGCCCCAGGCATGGGGAAGCACCCTCCCGGCAGCAGGGACACCTACTTCCATGGACCCCTGAAAGGCCCCAGAGCCACTTGAACCCCCAAGGGGCATGCAGGCCAGTGAGGACAGCAGCCCTAGTGTCCATTCCCCAACTCAGACTCCCCAGCCCTCAGAGGGAGTGGAACTCAAAGGGTGACCACCACACCTTTGTGCTGAGCCCCTGTAGAGCCAGAGAGGCCCCTCCAGAAAGAAAACTAGCTGCTCCTGACCTCTCTGATCACCAGGAGTACCCCATCACCTGGGGCCACCATCACCTCCTGATCCTGGCTCCAAGCCATCCTGGAAGGGGCCCCATGTGCCTGGGGACAAAGCCCTAATCTACGTGGCCAGGCCAGCTGGGAGCTGCAGGAATGCGGGGGGAGGAAGGCAGCCCCACAGCATGCAGACCCAGAAGCTTCCCAGCACACGGGAGGGGTGGGCACAGTGCCAACCCCCAAAGCTATAAATAGGGAGATGTGGGCAACAAAGAGAGCAGGCGGGGAGGGTGTATGGGGACTCAGGGACGGATAGATGGGCTGGGGACGTCTGTCCCCAGTGACAAAGTCACTTTACAAATCAGAGTTTTCCTTTCAAATGGGGAGCAAGGCCTGTCGCATCCATGTGTTGCTTAGAAACAATGCTTCTGCCCAGCACGCCCCCCATGAAACTGCCAGCAAACAGCTGGCCCTGGTGCCAGCCATTGCTGGGGGCTCTGGGTCTCAGCCAGACACACACAATTGGGGGCCCTCAAGAGGCTCACACAACAAGAGAGGAGGAGGGGGTTACTGGGGAAGAAACCAGCTAGAACTCAGGGAAAGGAAGACACACAGAAACAGCACCCAGAGCGAGGCAGAGCAGCGCTGAGTAGAGAAAGCGCTTGGCTGGTTCTTAATTTAGCAAGTCAAGCCAGATATGCAAAAACCCATCTCTGCAGACTACAGAGTTGTGAGGCCTCCCAGCCCAGTGCAAAAAACAGGAAAGGGCCTTGTTCTGAATGAAGAAATGTGCTATATTCCCTTTACTACCCTCAATTTAGAATATTCTTTCAGAAAATGTGTATGTACATCCTCATATTATATACACACACTATGTATACATATATGTAAGTATATACACATATGTATACCAGCTGTTCCTCTATGTATAATTTATAAATTTTTCTCTGGAAAAATTATACGTAATTTGACCAGAGGTTACTATATACATATCTGCATAGATACACATATATACACATATATTGCCCAGAGGTAAGTGCTGGCTTGGATGAGGGAGGGGGCTAGGATTGAATGCCCAGGAGGACCCCAGCACAGAGCCCTATGCTTTTCTTTCTGCATATATATTTTACAAATATATTCAATTTTTTACAAAAATTCAAATATTTTATAAAAAAATTCAATTGCACATATGATCCCATATCCTCTTGGCTTAGCATATTATGTGCATTTTCCTGAATGCTTCAATATTCTATTAAACAAAAAACGCTGCAGTGAACATCTTTGTACATAAGTCTATGTTTCCATTTCCTCAGGAGAGATTCCCAGGGCAGAAGATAATGTATGTGGGTGATGAAGGAATCATGATTTGCACTTCCAAACTGCTTTCAAAAAGGTCATGCCGATTTACAACCTTACCAGCCCCTGAAGCACTAGGTCGTCAGCAGCAAATAAAAATTGCCAAGAGCACTGGACGCCCTCACTGTGCTCCAGGCAGAGCTTCACCACTAACGCAGGGGAAAGTGTGTATGGCTACTATTCCTATTTTCAAGAGGGTGGCAGAGTATGATTAAAACGCCCTTAACCAAAGCCACACAAGCTCGTGAGAATCAGAGATGGGATTGGAGCACACTGATTTTCAAGCAGCAGATTCCCACCTTCAGAGCAGCAGGACCCCCATTCTCAAGAGGCCCTGCTCAGAAACCTGTCCCCATCAGACTCCAGGGCAATATTGGCAGTTTGCAACAGGATAAGCAACCTGTTCCTGGGCTGCAGGAAAAAGACATCAGATATGTGAACACCAGGACCAAATCCCATTGCATCAGAAAGGGTCACAGTGGGCAAGTTCTCCAGGGCCAGAAAGCCTGCATGGTGGAACCTGTGAGGACAGAGCCTGTGAGCTAGGACCTAAGACACCAGATCCACACTTCCCAAGGGGGCCGGGAGCACGTGTGGCCTCCTTCCTTCACTCATTCACTTGGCTGACAGTCACAGAGGCTTCCCACCAAGGGACCTGCCCAACACCCGTGGACAAAACAGACAGAGGTCCCCGACCTTGTGGAGCTTAAATTCCAGAGCGATCAGACAGTACACAGAGTGCTGTCCACAGTGTGTTAGAAGGCGGCCAGTGCCGGAAGCCGAGGCTGAGCCAGGATGGAGGGGCAGGTGGGCATGCTGGGGCCAAGATGTCTTTTTCAAGAGGGTCACCACGGTGGATTCAACAAAAAGGCAAGATCAAGCAGACCAGACAGAGGCAAGGGGGTCAGGGACCTGAGGCAAGTGTCCCAAGTGGAGGGGCACAGGCACAGGGCCTGCTGCCCACCGGGGGAGCTGGGGTGCACACTGCAAGCAGGTCTAGGCAGCCTGTCTCCCCCGGGCTGGGCCAGGGGGCTGGGCACAGAGTGCTCTCTGACCTTTCACCCCGCTGTGCCTCAGTTTCCTCCCTGGCACAGTGGGCTTGGGACCACCTGCCTTTGCCCAGACAGCAGCTGGACCCAGCAGCAAGGAGGCGGTGCCCAGGTCCTGCCCAGCCCCAGCCCTGTGCTCAGGGAGCTGCAGTGAGTGTGACCCACGTGCCTCTCACTGCCTACTTCTATGTCTGGAAGCAAGTTGGTGACCCTGCTCTCCCCAGGCTGCCCACCAGCAGCCTCCTAGCACAGAGCTGCAGCCAGGGCTTTCCTGAGAACGGGTTCCTCTGAATAGTTCCAGTAGCATCACAGCAGTCAGAATTATTCCCTCTGTGACTGAGAGGAGCTATAAATTCATTCTCTGGAGCAGCCAGGGTCATCCCAGAGGGTCTGTGTCAGCTTGTCCAAGGAGGTGAAAATGGACAGACTGATATTCCCAGGCCACCCCAGCCACACCTGGTCAACATCCCTCCCCAGGTGTCCCCATCCCCGCTCCTCTTCCTCCATCCCCCGGCCACAGGGCTCTGTCCCCACAATCCCCCAGAGATCACTTTCTGATCTAGCATTTCATCTGACCCCACAGCTACCTGAAACATAGCTACCAGTATGCACCCATCTTACAGCCAAGGGGACTGAGGCTCAGAGAGGGGAGCCTTTGGCTGGGCTGCACAACTCACCAGGACAGAGGCGGCTCTCCTGACTCCTGAGGAGACACCTCTCACTCTGGTCCTCATTTGTGGGACCTTCTCCTACCCCCAAAGGGTCTTTCCTGCCAGCACCCACTCCCCTTACCACCCACAGAGCCGGCTCAGGGGTGTCCCTGCCAGAAACACCTCTAACCCAGGCAAAGCTGCAGGGAAACGAAAATGCCACCTTTTCTCCAAAATGTCAAGGGCTCTGACACATCCATCACAGGTGAGACTTGGGCCCACCGTAAGACTCAGGCTCATCTCAGCCATTCTAAGAGGACCAAGTCACGCAGCTCAAGGAGGGCCCCACAGGCAACTTGTGCAGGGTCAAGGCCAGTGTGCCTGGCTGAGACCCATGGCGTTTCCAAAGGAGGTGGTCCCAGTGCTCAGACTGTGCTTCCCCTGGGGCCCTCACCCTCCCACACCACTGAGGACCCCCAAGCGCTGCTGTTTACATGGGTTGTATCTATCAATGCTACTGCATCTGAACTTAAAACCAACCATGTGGAACAAGGACACAAAGTCCTGCCTCTGTTAGCATCACACATGGAGTCACATGGCCTCTGGAAAGTCCATCCTCCACTTTTGAGGCAAGAGATGAAAAGACAACATCCCAGTTGTGAAGACAGTTCTGACCTCATGGGTCCCCAGCAGGGTCTTCCAGCACAATCCCAGAGCTGCTGTTTCCTCTCCGAATCCTCTTCCTTGGAACGTCTGTTTGCACACCCACAAGCAGGTGTGTGCTTGGAGCATCCACGTAGGGGAAATGGGCATGGTACAAGCCAGAGAAAGCCCACAACACCCTGCCTGCCAGCCCGCGGACCCTGAGGGAGTGGCTGTGTGGCTTTGGACGGCTGACGGGTCAATGGAGTGTGAGGCTGCAGCCTGGGCCTGAGGGCCTGAAGTCTCTGCCCTCCCAGGCAGCGCCTATTCCCTCTGGGGCCCAGGACACAGAAGTCCGGCCAGATAGCATTTCCTCTCACGAAGCCTGTGTGGCCACATTCGTCTTCATGGGTTATTAAGGGATTCCTCCCAGATCCTTCCAGCCTGACAGGTCCTTTCTGCACAAGACCACTCCTTACACAGGAGCAGAACCTGGACTTGGGCTGAAACTGTGGCCACAGCCATGGCCACCAGCAGGTGCCACAGGAGGGAGTCACAGTCAGAGCAAGGCATTCTCACCCTCTCTGCTACTTGCCAGCCTGTCCACCTTGGCAATGGTGAATGCTCCAGAAGAGAAACCTCCAGAACTGGGGCTCCTGGCTGTCCTCCAGCTCTGCCCCATCGATGGCACCCCTCCACCTGTCAGGACAGTGGCTGACATGCACAGAGCACCTGCATGCACCTGAGCCCCACCTGCACCATCTCCTTTGAGCCTCACTACCTTGTGATGTCACAGGTGCTGTTAGGGTTCCATGTCTCAGATGGGGAAACTGAGGCCACAGTCACACAGCTGAGCAGTGGCTGGACCCAGGTTTGGAGCCATGCCTCGCACCAGAACTGAACTCCCGGCGTGCAGATGGGGTTGGATAAGCAGAGAAGGCCTCACAGGAACAGCCCAGACATCTCATCTAAGAAGCAGTGCCGTCTCTGCCCTGTGGCCGATCACACAGAGGCTGCTTCCCCTCCCCCGGGGCGCCCGGGCCTGTTTTGCTCAAGGGCTGGTCAAGGGCATGTCCTGATACAGGCCACTTCCTCCCCAGGGGAGGGTCTGCCAGCAGGAAGGTGATCCTGTCAGGTGACCAAGGGCAGGCTGCCCCTAACCTCGCAGCTCGGGGCACTTGTCCCCTCATCTGACCGGGCAGATATCCAGCCGTTGGGCAAGAAAGCACACTCTGGTCCTTCTTATTCTGAATAGGCTGCAAAACACACCAGCAGCTGCATCGCGCCGGTCATTAGCTGCTGGCCAGACCTTCAGGGCAGTTACAGCAGCCTTGCCCAGCAGAGTGACAGAAAAGGTTTGGGGTTTCACACTTATCAGGTTTCCATTCGCTAGGAGGAGCACGCAGCGCTTCGACCACAGCGGTGAACTCTGGGTGTCCCACCCCCCGCTTCCTGTTGCAGCGGTGAGCTCCACACACTGTACCTTCCCTGTGCTGGAGGCCAGGAAAGACCTGCCTCCGTACCCCTCGCAACCCTGCAGCTTAAGCTAGGCATCTTTGGGACCCCACACCCTTGCTCTCCAGGCCTGCTCGAGCTGTGTTGTCTTCCTGAGCACGCAACGGCCAACTGCGCCTCCTTCACCAGCACCTGGGCAGTCGCTGAGGCCCCCTCCGCCTGCATAAGCTGCGGAGCCACCACGGGGTAGGGCCTGGCCCTGGGCCCTCCCGCCGCGGTTCGCTCCATCCCAGCGCCGAGAAGCAGAAGGCCAGGAGGGGTCGCTGAGCCCCTGCCCCGCCGGCCCTGCCCTCTGTGAACCAGCCCAGGCAGTCCCGACCCTGGCGCGGAGTACGGGGTGTGGCATTGCACCAAAGCCTTCTCCGCGCCGGTCCCTGCATCCGCCACCTCCTGCCCGGCGCCTTCGTGTCCCCCCGGGCGTCCTCGGGGAGTACGCGGTCAGACCCTGCACTCTCGACTCTGAGTGCCGGCGGCCCCCTCTCGGGCCCCGCGCCCCGGCCCCGCGCGCGCCTCCCCATCCATACGGCCAGCGGCCCCTCTTGGACCCCGCGTCCCTACCTCGCAGCCTAGCGCCCTCGTAGCTGCCTCCGCCGTGCAGAGAACAGCGTGGGTACTTGGCGTGGGCCCCGAAAATCGAGGAGGTCCCTGCGTGACGTCAGCGCAGAGGCGCAGGGGCCGGGGCGGAACCGGGCGGAAAGTGCGACGGGGCGCAGGGCGGAGGGGAGGCCGCTAGCTCCTGGCCACACCCGCTCCTGGCCAGCTCACCGAGTCCCTAGACATGCCAGACACTGAACTCTGCTGACTTCTTGCAGAGCGCGCCTGGGACACCCCTGACAGTACCAGAAATAGCTGCGGGAGAGTGGGATGAGGACCGAGATCTTAACGCCAAACAGGTGAGACAGGTAAGCCGGCTAAGGCCCCCCAGGTGAAAGGTAAGCCGCTGGTTGAGTCGGGAGAGGGCCGGCATCAGGGGCAAGTGTAGAGGTGCAACGTCAATTCATGACACAGGGCAGAGCCCGGCCACCACCCGCCCTGGGAACCTCCTCCTCCCTTGCAGCCCCCCAGTAGAATGTAATGCCAATTTATTTGGAACTTTTTTATGCCAGGCACAATATTCTAAATGCTTACACATATCCCATTTCAGCCTCATGACATGCCTGTAGATAGCTATCTTTTTGTCCCCATTTTATGGATGAAAACTTGAGGAGTAAGTGGGGAGATTAAAGGCCCAGATGGCCCAGTGGAGGCTAGTCACACACACCCCACTTCACCCCAGCCCCGCTGCCTTGCCCCAGTTCTGTGCTGGGCTCCAGGTCAGGACCGAGGAGGCACAGAGAACAGGTGAGGCAGGCAGCAGGCACCTATGCTGCCCTCAAGGTCACCAGGGGAGCCAGGGAGAGTCTCCCTACCTCCTGTTGGGTCAGCAGCCTCCCAGGAGAAGTTCCCCGCTGTGCTTTTGAGAGGCAAGGAGCTCCTCCCCAGTGGCCTTCCTGGCTGGCCTCTGTCCCCTCCCCAATGGGCTGGGGGAGTTGGCCAGAGGGAGCGAGGTCTCCAGACACACACCTTGGGTGAGGGTCACCTTTTCCCCTGGCCCCAGGTCACCATGGCTGGTCAGTGGCTCCTACCCAGGCCCTGCAGCCAGCAGCCATGAGGACAGCAGCCTCTCTGTGCAGGGCCAGCTGTGAGTGTGGCTGCAACCCCTTGCCACCACCCCCGGGTGGGACAGGACTCCCAGGACAGGGAGGGGCCCCCAGCACGAAGACCGGCATTCTCACCCACCTCCAATGGGACTTGTTCCTCAAGCTACCCTTTTTCTCTTTGAAAACCTTTATGATAAGGGCTTTCTTTGAGCCAAGTGTTGCCTGGGCTCCGATTGCCAGCTTCCCAGGCCTCCCAGAGAGCCTGCCCACCACTGCCTGCCTGGCCTCATTCTGAAGAAATGCCCCACGGATGACTGAGGGATTCGTCACCATCACCCCCACCATTTCAATGGAATGTTGTTCAGACCTTCAGAAACTGTGCTGTGACAGATGTCCACTGACAAGACTTGGAAAATTCTAAAAAATACGGAAAAACAAAAGAGAAGACCCCCATAATCCAACCATCAGGAGGTAACCTCTCTTAACTGGTTGTGAGACATCCTTCAGATAATTTCTTCCCTCCACATTTAAATACACATGTGAGGAATTTATACGGTGTGCTCCGTTCAGCCAGCAGCTTGGTCCCCTAACACCCTCCCTGTCAACACCCAGAGATCAGCGCCCTCAGCCTGTATGCACGGTGTTTTGTTTGTTTCATGGATGACTCACCTGGTTTGGGACATTTTGGTTTTTTCCCAGTTCCTCAATATTTATATATATATATATATAATCTGTGAAAATCTTGTTTCTATAAATCTCTGTTGCACAAGTATCTGATCTTCCCCCTTGGAATAGATCCCTACAAACAGAGTTGGGCTCACAATGCCACATTTTGACACACGCAGCTGCAAGGACTTTCCGGTTGGTAACTGGGGGCAGAGCGCTCAGAGCCTGAGAATTGCTCCCTGGATACCGCCTTCCCCAGCAGTGCAGCCCCTGGTGACTGGGAGGGGTGGGGGCAGTGCAGCCATGTCAGGCCTGGGGTCACATCTCCTGTTTTTGGCTGCCCAGTTAGCACATGAAATTGGAAATCCAGATGCACCCCCTGCTCATTGAGAAATATCCTCGCCCTCAGTTGGGGGGTACCCATGGCCGGGTCTCTGAAACACAAAGGCAGCCTGCTGACAGCCAGCCGGGGCCACCCCTGAACACAGGTCACACTTGTCTCAGAGCCCAGACCTCTCCTGTGAAGCCACCTCATCAGAGCCAATTCCAGAAATGGGTGGTGACGTGGGGTCCCGTCCTTCCAGCTGGATGGACAAAGGGTGCCACCCCCACCTTCACGCACCTGCCATCCTCTGCCCGGGCAGATCCGGGGTAACAGATTGCTGTGTGGCCTCTGCACCTCCCTGCACCCCATTCCCCAGTAGTGGCTAGAGTGGAAGCCCCCACCAGCCCCTCAGAATGGGATCGCATTCAGAATCACGATCTTGCAGATGTAACTCAGGTGAGTCTTACAATGTGGCCATCCTGGGTTAGGGAGGGCCCTGCATCCTCGTGGTGTCATGAGAGACAGGTGTGGGGGACCCAGAGCACAGAGGGAGGCAGCCAGGTGAAGGGAGGCCGGATGTGGACCCAGCGCACACAGCCCCTGAGCTGGAGAGGCAGGAAGCACGCCCCTAGAAGCTCTGCGGGCAGCAGGCCCTGCTGACACCTTGATTCCAGCTTCCAGCTGGCCGCAGACCTGGGAGAACGTTTCCATTGTTTTAAGCCTCCAGCCTGTGGTGACTTGTGGGGAAGGCGGTATCCAGGGAGCAATTCTCAGCAGCCTCAGAAAACTCACATGAGTTGGAAAATAAGAAGAGGCTTCATATGGTGGTTATAAGGATTAGAAAAATACACAACTATGGTGGATGTTCTCAGTGCCCAGTAGGTCCTTGGAACATGGCAGCCATTTACTCAGCAAATGCTGAGACACCTGTTATGCCAGGTGTGGGGTGGGGCGGGCACCTGGCCTGAGGGTGGGTGTCGGGGGTCCTGAGGGTCAGCAGGGGCACTCTAGCCCACACCCTTTCCCGGTTTGTGTGTCTCTCCAGGGGCATCCTGCTCCTGTCCCCCTCTATCACTGTCTCCCTCCCTCCATCCCATTCTCTTCTTCATGTGGTTTTCTGTGTGCAGGGGCCAGAGACAGTTCCCACATGCTGCTTCTCTGGCAGGAAAATGGGGCTGGGCACGAGACACACGCCTGCTCCTCGGGAAGTGGCGGCCATGCCCGGCGCCATCTGGGCCTGTTGGGGTCAGTCTGGATTCTGGGCTTCCTGAAGACACCCTCTTGAACTGGTCATTGCCCACTCAGGCCCTGGGAGACCACAGCCCTGCACTTTGTCAACAACGACAGCAGCAATAATAATAATAGTTCTGTCTTCAGGTGCCTGGAGCGGCTTGGACATGTGGGTTTCCAGGACTGTGACTGCGTCCTGCTCAGCCCTGACAGCAGGCACTCCAGACAGATGGGCTGCTCCCCGCAGACCCCCAGTTTTTCAACCCTGAGACGTGGCCACCACTCGCCCAGCTCGGGTTGTCATAGGGGCTGATGGTCAGGAAATGGTCACCAGTGGGCACCTGGAAGGCTCTGGCCCAAGGCAGCCTGCCCAGCACGCAGCTCGTCTCAACTTCGGTGTGGCAGGGATCTGGAAGGCTCAGGATTTGGAGATTCCGTAAGTGGGCCTGAGGCCACACCACCGCGGGTTGGGATGTCCTTCGCCCCAGGGAAGACTCACTGGCCTTTCCTCATCCACCCTGTCACCACAGGGGAGACCCAGGGAGGCCCGGAGTCCAGCAAGGCAGAGCCCCAGGCTGGGAGGCTGCTGAGTCAGGCCCATAAGGGCACAGGCCATGCCAAGCCCCGTCCGAGGGTCCCAGCTTTGGAGCCAGTTCGAGTCTTCAGAACACATGGTCCAGAAGCTTCTCCAGCAGGCACAAGGTAAGGGTAAGTCAGGGAAGGTGGGGGGGGGGCAGGGTCCCGTGTGGGGCCAGGGTCAGCCTGAAGTGGCCTGGCTACAGGGACAGGCTGGGCCAGTGTCAGCATCCTGAGCCATCAGCTCCGACTCTCCCACCTCCCTAGCAGGGAGGGCTGCGCAACGGCAGCGCCCCCTCCTGGGCAGTGGGCGACTGCTCCTGAGGCTCTGAGCTGCCGAATCCTGGAGCCCCGCCCACTCCCCAGGGACAGCCCCAGGAGACCTGGGGCCTTCTAGCACAGCCTGCTGGGTGGACGGCACTTCTGCCCAGCCTGGACAGAGAAGGAGCCTGCAGGGCTGGGGACAGAGGAGGAGCCTACGGCCTGCCGAGAGCTCAGAGAACACACTTCTGCCAAGGGAGGTTCTGCCTGGGCAGCCCTGGGGCCGTGGGCACTTCCCCTTTGGAAAACCCAAATCTCCCGCCACAGCCCTCTCCCTCAGCGTTTCCAGTAAATGGTCCCACATTCCCTCTAGCACCAGGAAGCTCTGGTCAACCTCTGAACTATCTGCTGACTGCCCCAGCCCCCCTACCCCCATGTTCCCTCCCAGCCACACACCTACATCCAGACAAGCCACATGCCCCACCCAAGCCTTTCAAGGACGTCCCTTTCTCTCAGGATGGTGCCCCCAGGGCCCTGGCTGCCTTGCCCACCACATCCCTCTCACCAGCTGGCAGCTGCCCACCCCCAGCCCTGTCCCATACAAGCACCCTCTTCCTACCTGGGGGCCCCTCTGCCTGGAAGGCACCTGCAGCCCCCAGCTGGGTTTCCCAAATCAAGACAAAGCCACAACCTCATACAGGGCCCCCTTCTCTTCTCCCGGTCACCCCTGACCTGTGCCCAGGGCCCCCCACCCCATGGTGAGGCTTCAGGCCCAACAGCTACATTTTCCCAGGGGCCCTCCTGCCACACGCTTCACACATGATTACCTGGTCAGTGGCTGTCTTCACCCGGAACGGCTGGGAGTCGGGACGGCAGCCACATGGGTCTTCCTTCTGCCAGCGCCTAGGGCAATGCCTGGCCCACAGCAAGTGCATGGGTGGGCTGCCATGCACCCCATCCCTGTGCTCGCCGGGCACCCCTGTCCTGGCATGGCCCTGAGCCCACCCCATGGACACAGCTATCTCCATGCACACATGCACACACATGCATGCTCAACTCACACCCCAGGCCCAGGGCCACCCACACACGCTGCCCTGAGCCCTCGCTCCCCACACACATGACACGGCACACACACAGCTGGTTGTGCTTGCTCACACTGTCCCTGCCACTTCACTCCAACAAGCATCAGAGCTGCTGTTGCAGCCTCTGCCTGCTGGCGTGTTTGCCAAGCAGTTTCCATGGCGACTCATCTTGGCTCTGACAGCGACAGACGAGTGCAGGGGAGAGATGGTCTCCATGGAAGGGGCAGGAGGGGGCGGGACTCAAGACGTGTCCTCAGGCTCCCAGGCAGGCACAAGGGGGTGTTCCCACGAAAAGGAGGCTCCAGAATTTCCTCTGGTCTACAATGCTACAGGAGCTGCTTTAGGTCATTCATTCATTCAATAAACCTGTGCTGGCTGCAAAGCTGCCTGATGCCTGGGCCCACCCCCAACAGGGCTCATGGCCATGTCCTGAGAAGACTGCTGTCCTCAGCATCCCACCGAGGGCCCATCCTAAGTAGGCCAGTGGCTCCCTGAGCACCAAGGCCCAGCTGCCCATCTTCTGGGAGGCTGGCTCCATGGGGCAAGGATGCCAGGCTCCCCTCTGCAGATCAGTTGCAAAAACAGCCCAATTGTCTGCCTCTCCCTGAAGCATCCAAGCCATTTGCAGAAACTCGTCAAGAGGTAATCTTCCCACCCTTGAATCTAAGCCTGTCCCATGACTTGCTCTGGCCATTAAGGTGACAGAGGTGATACTGTACCAGTTCTGAGCTGAGGCCTCAGGGATGTGCATGCTTCTGCCTGCTTTTAGTATCCTGAAATAGTATGTGAATAAGCCTGGGCTGGTCTGCTGGAAGGTGAGAGAACACAGGGGGCCTGGGCCAGCCTTACTGAGACCACCTGTTGATGTAATGGAGTACACTGATTTTCAGTTGTTAAACCAGCCTTGCATACCTCAGATGAGCCCCTTTTGATTTTGCTGTATAATTCTTTTTATACATTACTGGATTCAATGCACTAGTATTTTGTTGACATTTTTGCACCTATGTTCATGAAAGATACTTCCTTACCTTGAATGTCAGTCTAGATTTGGTATTGAGGGTAATGCTAGCATCAGAGAATGAGACAGGTGTTCACTCTGCTATTCTCTGGAAGAGATCATGAAAAATTAGTATCTCTTCCTTCAAATTCACCAGTAAACCCATCTGGGCCTGGTGCTTTTAGGTTATCAATTATTGATTCAAGTTCCTTGGTAATAGACATGGGTCTACTCCCACTGTCTGTCTCTCCTAGTGGGTTTTGGCAGACTGTTTTTCAAGGAATTGGCCCATCTCGTCTCGGTTACCCGTATGTGGGAGTAGTTGTTTGTGATATTCCTTGATTATCTGTTCTGTGTCCATACAGGGATGTCTATCTTTCATTTCTAGTGTAATTTGTGTCCTCTTACCTTAGATGGCCTGGTAGCAGCTTATAGATTTTACTGATATCTCTATAGAACCAGCCTTTGGTTTAGACGATTTTCTCTATTGATGTCCTGTTTTCAATTTCACTGATTTCTGCTCTAATCTTTACTGTTCTTTTCTTCTACTTACTTTGGATTTATGTTGCTTTTCTTTTTTCTAGTTTTGTACAGTGGAGGCTTAGATTGACTCTAGATGTTTCTTCTCTAATACATGCATTTAATGCTATAAACTTTCCTCTCCGCATTGCTTCTGCTCCATATTTGGAGAGGTTGTATCTTCATTTTCATTTACCTGAAAATATTTTTAAATTTCTCTTGCGATTTCTTCAACAATGCTAGGTGCTTTAGAATGTGAGGACACTTACCTCTGGCAGGGAAATGGTAGAATCCCTTTTAAAGACAAACAACGAGGTTCCAAGAGGAAGTGACACACCCAGGCTCACATGGCCTAGACGAGGCAGAGCTGGGACTGGTGTAGCTGTCTGGTCTTCCTGGGACCAGCCTGGAGCTCAGCCCTCCTGGCATTACCACTGGTATTACCTGTCTGCTTAGTGGAGATGGTGGGCTTTGAACTGCCACAAGCTTGGGGCGATCCTGGGAGTTCAGAAGCTAGAAGCTGGCCTCGGTAACCTGGAGTCACTACTGGAGGGGCCAGAGCCAGCCTGAGTTGTCTGCCCTTGGTTGCTTGGCTGTCCCTGGGGCACAGTGGGGTCCAACTAGAGACCCACCCCAACACATACCTGTGAAGCACGTGGCTGTCCTGCAGAGGGGCCCCTCAGAATCTTCTACAGACCCCACTGGGCCGAGGGACTGTCCCCAGGCAGTTTTAGAACACAGCACTGACTCAGTGGCACTATCAAATACCATTTATTTTGAGTAGAAAATAAGCCACTTTAATACATCAAAATGCAGGACTAACTTAGCTGGTCTTTCCTGGTCCCAGCGTCCTGGAGGGCCTTGTGTATCCAGGCTGGGCTAGAGCCCTCAAGTCTACAGGGTCCCTAGGAAGGGACACGGTGCAGTGCTGGGGGCCCAGGGAGGACCCCACTGAGCGCCTCAGTAGCAGTCAGCCTCATTCTTCCCCAGGACGCCCACCATGGCTAGCAGGTCCTGCAGGAGCGATTGAGGGCTCTTCTCCACATGGTCGCTGCTCTCGGCCAGCGCACCCCGAAGTCCCTCCAGGTCCACAGACCTCAGCACAGCCATCACGGCCTGAGGCTCCAGGTTCCCCAAGGGCTGGCCCTGCTCACCTGCCTGCCACCTCTGCAGGGCAGCCTGCACAGAGGCCACGTCAGGGCTGCCCCCTGCCTCCTGCAAGCTGCTACAGGGAGTAGCCCTGGCCCTTAGGAAGAGGAGGAGGTCACAGGACTTCTGGGCCACGGGTCGGTCACAGTCAAACAAGGCTCGAAAGACAAACTCAAAGAGCCGGACTCGGCAGAGTGGCTGCAGGGCCTCAGGCAGCAGTCCAGGAGGCGCTGCCTCAGGAGTGGCCACAGCATAGGGACAGCAAGAGCTAGGCTGGCCCAGCGTCTGGGCCAGGAACACCAGTGCCAACTCAAGGGCCTGGGCCCGGACCTCCCAGTCCAGGTCCCGGCTTGCTACCTGGAGCACCCTGGCCACAAACCGCTCAGTGTCCTTAGCCACGTCCACATGGCCGTCCCTCAGCCACTCAGTGAACACCTGCATGACGGCCCTCCGGGGGAAGCCCTCCGAGTCTGTGGTGAGGATGTGCAGAAGCTCTGTGAGCAGGCTGTCCTGAAGGACAAATCAGAGGGTGAGCAGGGCCAGAGAGGGCGGGGCTTGGGCCCAGAGCAGGGGGGCGCTGCAGGGAGAGGCCCTGTGAGACAGCCACGCACATCTGGGGCTTACTCTGCTTGGGCTTTCAGGCCATGTGCTCTTTGGCCCTCCATGTGCTCATCTGCCAAATGGAGGTGACCACACCCAACAGCCCTGACCCCGGACTGCCCATGCCTGGGGGACTGACCCACTTGTCCCCGGGTATCAGGACAGCTGCTGGGTGTGGGCTATGTGGCCAGGGAGCCACCCCCTCCTACCTGCTGGCCTCCTGGGTGCTCAGGGCTGGGGGGAGCAGCATACAGCCCCCAGCTAGAGAGCTGCCCTGCGGTGGTCACGGCACTTGCACGGACATAACTCTCAGGGTCTTGCAGGAGCTGCATGGCGAGCTCAGGTACCTCTGAAGTGTGCAGGGCGAGTCTGAAGCCAGCCTGCCCTGGGGGTCCAAGTGGCCACAACTGGCGGTGACCAAGGGCTGAGCCCACAGCCCCCCCTCACTCCCACAGCGGCAGCCAGCAGGAGACCATGGAGCCAAGGCTGGGCAGGCCCTCCCACAGGTGTCCCAGCCACACTCACCGCCCCAGTGCTGGACCATCTGGGTCAGGAACTCGAGGCTGGAGTCCCGCACCTCCCAGCAGGGGCTGCACAGGCGCTTCTGCAGCACGGGGAGCAGGTCTGCAGTAGGGGGTGCACAGCAGCAGTCACAGCATCACCCCATCCCGGCCCCACCCACTCCGACTCCTTCAGTTTGCCCAGGAGGTGCAGGGATTACCTCCAAGGAACACCTGGGTGCAGGGGTCCAGGTCACAGCAGCTGGGAGTTGTGGTTGTGGGTGAGCTCAGGAACCACTTGAGAGAGGCCTGGAAGGCCTTCTTCAGAACCTGGCATGGGCGAAGCGGGGCTGCAGGGCCAGGGCGAGGGGCAGCTGGCCCACCTGCCCTGCCTGTGCCCCTGTACTCCTGCCCCTGGTCTGGGGTGAACAATGGACACAGGTGCAGGGAAAAGAGCCGCTGGGCTTCATTTGTAAGCAGCAAAATAATCTGGAAGTGGCAGAACTGGTGCCCCGGAATATGAGGGAGAGAAAGGAGGCACCTCTGGCCAGGACCCCCACTACCAGGGAAGTGGGGTTCCTTCACAGGACCCAAGAACTACCCAGGGCGCCTTTTCCTTAGAGCCCCAGGAAACTGCCAGATCACCCAGATGTCCCCACTACCTGCTCAGTGGCCACGTGGGTTTTATTCTACTCAGGCCCGACTCAGCCAGGGGCTACAGGAATGGACTCATTTGCAGAGAACATCAGTAAGAGGTCAGACCCCAGCATGGGGCCTCCTGCACCAGTTCACCTCTCTTGCCCAGGATCCCCTCTAAGACGATGGGAGCCTGTCCCCACTTCCCACAGCCCAGCGCTGCCATCCTCACCAAGGCCAGGCCCTATACCAAACCCCATGCAGCCCCTCAAAACTCACTTTAAGAAGCAACTCTGGCCCACTGAAGGCCTTGTTCCAAGAGACCTGCAGGTGGCCC